GCAGAAGCAGTAGTAGCAGTAGTAGCAGTAGTAGCAGTAGTAGCAGTAGTAGCAGTAGTAGCAGTAGTAGCCGTTGCAGGAGTGGCAGCAGCCGCATATTTCTCTTCGTGTTGAATGCCTGCGATCCGTCAGTCCACGGATTAATCCGAGAGTAGACCTCGGAAGGGACTGTGAGAGTGCCCTGGAGAGCTTGGGCTTAAGAGTTCTGGGTGGTGAAGCTTTTGGGGCTCAGGGTGCAGGGCTTTGATTCAGGGCTTCAGAAGAGGTATTGGCAGTAGTCGCACAAGCAACTGCAGCACGGGTAACAGTGATCACAGAACGGCAGTCTTAGTCAGCAACGTATAACAGCGACACGAGCAAGCTCACTCAAAGGTGACAACAAAAAGTTTGGAGCAGGGTGGACAGATTCAACGTGCAAACGCTTGAGAGTTTCAGAATACAAGATTCAGAGCTTTGGGAAACTACTGGCTATTGGTTATAGGGCCTGTGATGACTCGTAACGCTTAGAGCCCTAAACCTTCCAAGAATGGGTTGCCGAGACAACCACGAATGGAACGGTAATGACATGTGTCGCTATAGGACTCTGATGCTTCTGTTGCTACTCTGGTCGTTTGAATGCCACACTCAAGTCTCCAGCAATCTCGCGATATTCAGCAGACTCATCCGTACGACCTGAAAGACGATGACTAGGCCGACGCCAATAGTGTTCTTCGTCTTCTTACTTGTGCTTGAAGCTGTTGCTGTTAGTATACTAGGCGTGCCCCCTCACTGTGAGGAATGGCGGCGTGCTGGCAAGCTTGGCCACCCCACCATGCTTTTGGAGCACGCTTCCATCTCGGCCAAGATGTTTCAGGGTTGAGAGCAGAGGTGTAGGGTTTTGTAGGGCTAAGGGTCCTAAGACTTTGCAGCCTTGGGGCGTTCGTGGTCGTGTTCGTGGTCGCCACACTGGACGACAGCCTAGAGCACCCGCACCAACGACTGTACATTCTTAACTCAAGGGCTTTATGAGAATGATCAGAATAGGGGTTGGGGGCATATTAGTTAGTGTAAGGAGCCCTAATGACTACTGCTTATTTAGGCTTCCATATTATTCGCCCTGACCCCCCCGTCTTCCATCGTCTACGCGGAAGCAGCAGGCTGACCCCAGCCGTCTTCCAAGACTGCTGATACATTTGGATTCCACCGACTTCGGAAAAAAATGAAGTACCTTCTCCTCACACACACACACACCGAGATGTTCCGCTAGGACCTGAAGGACAAAACCCTCCATGAATTCCTGTTGGAATGCGCTACATTGACCGGGGCGTCGCAACAAACAAAAACTCCAGTCCTAATGACAGTACGAACTGGATGCCTACGTCATGAAAACGAAGCCAACCATCGCGAGTTGATGCGATGGGAATGCTCTCCAAAGCTTCTTCAAAGCACCAGTACTCCTGTGGTTACAACACCGACGACGATTTCAGAGCTCAATCAGTACCAGCAGACGAAGCCAACGACGAGCGCAAGTCGGAAGGATGCAAAATTTAAAAAGAACAGAAAGACTGACAAACGGCCTTCCTCAGCAACGACTGGCAGAGAGCAACATCAGCAGCACCCCCACTTTCCGAGCAGCGACCTCGGGCTCCTTGAGGTGATACCCAGAGCCGAAAGACTAGCGCCCAAACCTTAAACCCCCAACAATCTCAGAGGAGGATCCCAGTTCGAACCTCACATTCAAAGGGGCAAGGTGCCTGAATGCGAAGCGCTTGGCCCGCTTCGGAATCCCGGATCTAAGGCCCTTGAGCCCAGCGGCCGAGTTGGGTGCGTGAAAACATCTGCGTCGGAGGCTTGTTTAAACCCAACACACAGGATCGTGCAAACACGGACCGTCCCTAACAGACTAATCAACTTCGGTGATGCAGGGAGAATGCTATGAACAGACAGCTCGCCTGAGACCTGCCAGGTACTTTCCTTTTTACCCTTAGATTCATTCCTGACTATTTGCTTGCTGGAGTTTCCTTGGGCGAGCAGCCGCTGACCCCTCGAACTTTTTTGTTGCCCTGCGCAAGCTGAGTCGAGACTCGACGGTGCTGATCACAAGGACATCTCCCAATCCACTAGAGCCACATGATGCACCCATATGCCCTGTTACTTCAAAGGACTGTTGCGTAAGAGAGGCCACGACTTGCCTGAGGTCTAAGACTAAGAAAATCCATCACGCCCGCCACTGGCTGCTGCACCACTTTAAAGCGGCTGAGCCTGGCAAGGGCTTCCACCCTTGCAAAAGGACATCACCGTGACTGATGACAATAACCCATAACGATAAACAAGAAGAATAACCACCACCACCACCACCACCACCACCAAAACACCACCAGCAAACAAACTTGCGTAGCCAAGTCCGACAGTACAACTATCTCTGCGTGAAGTCCGGCAACGATCTCTGCACTGCGTCCAGTCAACTATTGGACTGAAGATAACGAGCAAACGAACAAACAAACCAACAAACAAACCTACCAGCCACCCGACCAAGCAACCACAGCAGCTACAACAACGATGATGATGATGATGATGGCAATGATCATAGCAAAAATACAAGAATAACAATGACAATAACAATAACAATAATCCGCAACATCTTCCACTCGGCCGGCCTACGTCCTGGTGTCTAACGAAGCGGCCGGGAGGGGCCTGTCGCGAGAATCTCAGTCGCTTGGGGCCAGAATCTGGCGCAACATCTCCTTTAAACCGGGCTAGGGTTAGGGCTTGTAGGGTTTAGGGTTATAACGGCCACAAGCAGGGGGCATCGGTTGCAGCTTGTTCTGCAACATGTTTTTGGAGTTGCAAAGGCCCGCGGACGCCCGACTCGCCTGGCCTCTGCTTCGCTGGAACCATGACCTGGCATCTCGGTTTGGAAGGTTTAGGGTTAGGGTTTAGGGTTGGGTGTAGGGTTTAGGGATGTTTTTTTTTGTCACCCCTTTTCCATCTGCCCAAAGGTTTAGGGATTTGTTTTTTTTGAGGGCCTTTTTCCGTCTGCTAGTGTCTAGCTCGAGAATCTATGTTTAGGGTGTAGGGTCTAGGGTGTAGGATTTAGGGTGCACGGTTTAGGGTTTGGGGATAAGACACGCATAAACAAAGAGGTTCCAATTTGGTGTGGAACATCAAAGCCAACTGTCAGCATTCCTTGAGTGCACAACTAGCTTACTTAGAGGTCCGCTACGGGCTTACTACCTCTGTCTCATACATCATCCCTTGTCATCCACCACATTCTTCCGGATAGCTCTACTCTACAATAGATTGTCATGTAGTATTGCATCTCATCAGCTCAGGCGAACATATACAGACTATACTATACTGTTCAATCACAACATTGGGCTTCGGGATTTCAGAGCAGTCTCGATCAGCACTTCCATGCTGATGCTACTCATGCTGAGTACAGTCACAGCCTGCTAACAAGGGTTGCAATGAGGCAGAGCGAACAGAACTACAGATGACAATGCCGCAGCCACTATTACTAAAGATCGATAGCAGAAATTCCAACAGTAATAACAGTAGTCAACAGCACCCTGCTGATACGAGTGCTGGTCGCAGAGGTAACGGTATGAACACCTTAGTGAGACTACTGAGATGAAAAGTAGTGTACTTAACCGACTCACACAAGTAACGCCGCCAAAAGCACAGAAATCAGCAACAACTGTGGTACTGACAGCAGGAGTGATACTATGTAGTGGCTTATTATCGTAAGAGACACTGTATTCCACATTGTGCAGTAACAAGAGCAGCAAGAGTTTAAAGTGACTGATTGCATCGCCCATGGTGGGCATAGTAGACCCACAGCAAAACTGATTGTTAGTGAGAAGGATATGTGTACTATGACTACGCATAGTAGGCGCGAGAATCATTGCCCAGCTGGTGGTCAAGACAATAAGAACGGCCACCATAGCAGTGCTCGCAATCAGAGTACTGATCGGCTGGTTTACGCAGCGGCTTGACTCCATGGAACCGCACCTGGTCCGAGATCCACATCATCCTAGGGACCCTTACTTGTAGGGGGGTTAGGGGGAGGGGGGGTAGGGGACTATAGTTCCTTATTCGGTCGACTAGGCATTAGAGCCCCCTACCCCACTCCCCACCCTGCACCGGTCCTCAAGGCATCATACTGCATCACCGCACATCCCTACGATCTAATCACATCGAAAAGCTGTTTCAATACCAGAAAAAATCTACCAGCTAGGCCCCTCATTTTATGTGATCTACCGGTCGGCTCTTCTGCCTGCCAGCTGGGCAGCCACGCCGACTCTCAGCGCCCAAGCCGATCCTTCACCTGGCGGCCAAACGCGGCATTATGGGAGTTTCAGGGCATAGGGAACGGAACTCAAACTCCGGAAATTGTAAGGATCATTGCGTGATGATGCAAGAGAGATTGCACCTGCTCATGCCTGCTGCTGATGAGGACGGCGGTGGTGGGACCACGATAGTAAGAGATATCAAACTGAGGATGTGGGGAAGCCGGTGCGGAAATGGCCTGTCGCTCGTGCGCTTTTCCTTTGCTCCAACCACGAGGTCGCGCTTTCGGGGAGAATCTGGCTCTTAGGCCAGATCATGCCATGTCCCCCGAGCAAACTCCTCAGGAGGCCCGGACGACGAGAGCAGCCATTTCTTCGACCAACCCTACTGTACCACAAAACCCGAGTACAATTCTCGACGAATTTTGAGTATACCCCAAGCCCAAAAAAACCCGAATTTTTTAAGCATACCATTCATCCCTGAGCCCTTCAGCCTCAGCCGAGCAAGCTCAGGCGCTGCTGCAGGAAGTCTCGCTTTCGCTGGCGGACTCGGACCAGTCACCACTCAGGGAGCGGCGGAAGCAGCCTCTCCCAGCCGGAGGGAACAACTGTCAAAGTGACAGCGGGACAACTTGGGTTTGTAGGGGCGTGTAAGCGGTGTTATAGGATTCTGGAAGTGTCTAGCCGCGTGTGTCTAGAATGGTACAATGATGAAAGACTACCTCGAAGTTTCTCCTAGAACCGAGCGGCAGATCTTCGGCATCTTCTTGTCCACCAGTTCAAGGGACCTTTGGTCGCAGTGCGTCTCGACGCGAACTTCGGTTCTTATGGAGGGACTGAGTGGTTCTTAGGCCTTCGGCAAGAAGGCATTGCAATCACAGGCCCAAAAACCTTTACCCAGTTCCGGTCGTGGGCTCAGGCTACTCTGGCACCGGAGATGCTAGCCAATGGCACCGGAGATGCTCAGGCCTAGGCCTCTGAATAAATTAGTAGGGAATGGGGGAATGGATCCCTATGATAGCCCCTTAAAGGGTCCCCTATAGTGAGTACGGGCCGGGAGGCTGCGTGGATCTCTTGACAATGGTGGCGACGTGCTTCGAACGCTCGATGCCATCCAACCTGGGTCTGAGGGTTCCTTCGAACGCTAGGCTTTGTCTCCCTACTTCTTGAACCTAAGCCCCTATATACCCCAATCAGGTACTATATGATGTAAGGTGTACGTATGCTAAGTGTATACAGGGCAATGGAGAAGGCGAGCAGCCAACTCCCAAACAGGCCTTGCGCACTGAAAACCAGCTGCTGCAGCCTCGCCGGACATAAGAAGCTTCAGATTTCCTGGTTCTTGAAGCCAGGTTGGCCCCTGAAAACCTCTGAAAATCTTCGTTACCAAGATCCTCTAAGCCCAGCAAGGAGGAACATAAAACATGCAACAGGCTTCAAAGCTCCAAAGAAACCTCAAATGAAAGCTCCATCCCACGCTATGGCAGGGGGCCGGGCCTAAGGTTAAAGACGTCGATATCGGCGATCTTGGAGATGATCATGTCCTTGTCACTTTGGACAGATGCCTCGCAGTCACGCACGTCCAACAGCGAGAGACGCTCGTAGTTCTCGTCCACCACATCTCTGGAGAAGACCGATATCCGGGCCGGGATGCCAAGGATGTTTCCTTCGACGATCTCCTTTGCTGTGTTTGGCAGCCACTGCTTGCAGCAAGACACAGGTCAAAGCAAAATGCCAGGCACTCATAAAGAACCTTTCACAAGAAGCCAAGCGGCGGCGACGCACCAGGCTCTGTAGAGCACGTCGAAGCCAGGGTCCACAACGACCAGCTGAGCCACGCCATTGGCGACCCTACGGGTCAGCAGCTCCATCATGGTATCGAACTTGTTGACCTCGCAGACCACGTAGTCCTGGGAGGTCTTGGGCTCCCGGCAGCAGCACGGGGGATAGCGCTCTCCGGTGACGGAGTCCCGCGACTTCCTATCCCAGGCCGTCCATGCTGCAGTGTCGCGCGGCGGGCTTTGCCCCAAGCTATTGCAGATGGTGGCATGTTGGTTGATGGAGAAAGCACAGACCCAGTAAGTCGAATCCAGCTTCTCGGCCGCTCGCACATCTGACACAATCTTCGCCAGCCCCGTTTTGGTGCCGAGACGCTGAGCCAAATCGCCATACGTTTCGAGGCCAAGGGCATCTCCAACGATGGCCGCCGTCAAGTTGGCGAAGGTGTTCGACCAAGCATGTGTCACCATCTGCTGCGGTACCAGAGGCTGCCCATGATTCCACTTGGTAGCAAGGGCAACCCCACCTAGAGATGTGCGCGACAATGGGATGATGGCCCCTCGGACAACGTCCGTGGTGGTGGAGCGCTCGGGGCAAAAGCCTGACATCACCTGTCTGTCCAGCAAGACGCCCCAAAAGTCAAGAAGGTCCCGGAGCCGGAAACCTCGCCCAGCCAGTTCGGCGGCTTTGGCTTCGTAGCTTTGCCTGTCCTGAAAATCTAAGTGCGACAAGCTGCTGCCAGCCCGCATCCTCGAGATCTCCTCGAGCTTCGTGAGGTCGCTGGCCCTAGGCAGGGGAGCCCGCCACAGGACGCCCGACAGGAGCGCCACGCCGACTGCATTCACCATCACATCCGAACGGTGGAGAAATGTTCGCACTCGGGCCCACGTGAATGAAGTCTCATCTTTGTTTATGCAACACAGGTCGGCGAGGGTAAATGCCACCGCCACGGTCCACGTGACCACGGTCGTAAGACCAATGAGCAGCGAAACCACAATCTCCATTCGAACAATGCGTATTGCCCAGTGCGCTTGCTGCCGCGCCACCCCCCTTGTTCTTTGGCGCTCCAACCGCAAGACACTCAGGCTGTGGAAAAGGCTCCGGACCATGAAGTACGTGTAGGAGAGCCAGATGCCAAGGAACATCAACTTGAACGCAACGCTTGCGATATGTAGGAAGATGAAGGCTCCGAAGTCCCGCTGGAGGAAGGACTCGATCAACACCAGCTCCACGTTGGCTTGGAAAGTTATTACCATGGTGTACCTCGCACTGGAAAGAAGCCTTCATATACTCTTGTGCTACTTTGGGGCCCAGAATGCAGAAGGAAAGAGGGGCGAAGGCAAGAAGAGAGAAACGTCCAGTCATTACGCTGTAAGTCTGACATGTTCTTGAAAATCCTGTTTCGTGTTGAGGAAGAGGTATAATTGTGTAAGTAGACATACTCAAGCACTCTTCGAGCAAACCCGCGCGTCCAGAAGGCTTTGTGTTCGACTACACGCGCTCCAGTTCCAGCAGCGTTCGCCAAGACAGGGTCTGTCTCCAGGTATATCTGAACGTCTCAAACACTGAGCGCCCTAAACCCTAAACCCGAAGCCCTACAAATTCCCCGATCAAGTCACACCCAGGCATTGGAACTCGCCAGACCGTCATCCCCTGCCGACCGCATCCGCGCTTGGAAGAGTTGCGCCACCCAGCCGAAGAGAACTGCCTTGCAACTCGAGGTCTGCGGTGGGTCGGGAACTGAACATAAGGGTGCAGGATCCGGTCCAGTTACTGCATGAAACTTGCACTCAACATCCAACGCAGCAATCCCCAAACCCCAATGCCGTCAGCCTTATCACAAGGCGTGTGAGAACCAACAACACCCAACAACAAAAACCACGACGACTACGACGACGACGACGACGAGACATACTAACAGTCACTAGCAGCACAATAAACAATCAATTCTACTAACTCAGGCACAAGACAAACAACAACCATAACACTAGTAAGAATAAATGTTGGAAGCCTGAAGGACTGGGCCTCGGCGGTGAGCGCTAAAGCGGCAGCCAGCTGGCTAAGGTCTGGCCAGTCACACTCCAAGTAGATATCCTCACGAAAGGCCGGAGGGCTTCTATGGAAGCAAACAGTGGCTAAGGGAGGGGTTGTTAGGGTACTTCCGGGGCTGAGGTCCAAAATGTGGTGGTTTCAGGTATCAGATCCATTCAGGCTTGACTGTTCAGGACTTATAGTGACAATGCTTAGTGAAGCTTGTTTTCAAGCCAACCCAGGTGTAATGTCCATGGCAATGTAGAGCAGGGATGTCGCTGAAAAGCCGTATACGCACCATAGAGCATCGTAGACATATCCCGAAGTCGGATGAGGCTTCACAGCGCAGTAGAGCCCAAGAAGGACCATTCCGGCACAGTCCAAGAGGCTCAGCCACCGGTACCTGATCCCACTGCGGCAGCCGCCAGGCTTGTAAAGCCAGTGCCACTGAAACTCAACAATGTAAATGCTGAGTAGCAGAAGGACGCAGCAGCCGCCGATCTTAAGACACCACCCCTTTGCCCGGTGCTGAAGGCTGCCAGGCACATGTACCACGGCAAGAAGCAGGCCTGTAAGCACCCCAAGTAAGGAAGGAGAGAGCTTCAACTCCCATCTGGTAGACTCGCTCGCAACGGCCTGATAGACCGCAGCATCCATGGAATGGTGCCCATCGTCTTCGGACTCGGACTTCAGGGTCTCTGCATAAGCCAGGAAAGCCGAGCAACCGGCGATTCCGAATAGCCTCATGCGGCAATCAGAGAATGGAAACCAGAATCAGCGAGACCTATCCACAGCAACTCTACGCAGCTACGACGGGCAGAAGCGATGCAGGGAGACAAGTACAGCAGCTCGTATGCCGAGAAGCAGAAGCCCTGCGAGCAGGCAGCGCCATCTCCGTTTCGAGACACAGCCCAAGCCTGCTGTCTTCAAAAAGCATCGGGACACACCTCTAAAGTAGCAACGAGGCGCTGAGGGTTGGTATGAAAATGCTGCCAACAAACTCAATAGATCACTGTCGTTCAGCCCATCACAGCGATATAGGATGCATTTTTTACAGTGTTCGGACGTACTCCACGCTCATCCACTGATTTCCTCGTTATCTTCGACTACACTGTCAAAGGCTCAACTGCGCATGTCTAGACTCTACTCTATATCCCGCAGCTCAACACCGCAACAAGTACAAAGCTCTCCTGTCCAGGACAAGGAGCAAGCTACACCTGGTGCGCCAGGCGGCTGCACAACCGTCCCGACGGGTGCCATTGCGTTCGAAATGGACAGCGACATCTTTGCTACATGCTCAGATACAAAAGCGAGAGAAAGAGAGCGAGGGAGGAAGGGAGGTAGGCAGGGAGGTGACTTAGATCGTATTGGATCGGGAAGGTTAGAGAACGGTCAGAGCGCGGCAGTGTAGAGTAGCAGAAACAATTCTGCACCTCTTGTCAGCTACATGATCTAGCGGGTAAGCCCTCACGCAGCGCCCGAATTCGAAAGGCAACTCCCTCAGATCCAGCATGCCTCCGGGTGTTGATTCATGAATTGATCAACCGTGCAATTATGGAAACCGCAGGAGGGCACCAGCGCACCTCAGCCATCTGCCTCTCCAAGTTTGCAAGCATGTCCTCCCAGCTCGTAGCGAAACGCAGGAATCTGTCATCTAAAGCATCACCACGAGTCACTATTCCTACCACCAAGGATGCCAACGACAACAGTGGATTCAAACCATTTATGAAGACCGGCAACTCGGCACCTGCTCGGGACAAGACTTTAAATGTCACGGCTGCAATCATCGTCATACCCTGTGCATCGCTATGGCCGGAGCAGCGACGATGGGGACGCTGCACAGGTACTATGCAACTCACAGCACTCACTTGCGGCCCAAAACGCTTCACGAATTGGCTACTCGCACTCATTTCTCTATCTCTGCTACCTGGAAACTCCAGCTTTCAGGTAGCCCTCAACTCAGCTACACAATAGATGGATGGATGGATGGATCGATCGATCTATCTAGCTCGCTACAGAATCTACCTATCCACCTATCTATCTATCTATCTATCTATCTTTCTTTACATTTATCTATCTTTCTTTCTGTCGATCTATCTCTCTCTCTATCTATCTATCTATGTATCTATCTATCTGTTTGTCTATCTATCGATCTATCATTTGTCTATCGATCTATGTATCTCTATATATATATATATGTCTATCTATCTATCTATCTATCTATCTCTATCTATCTGTCTACGTATCTCTCTCTATCTATCCAAATACCTATCTATCTACCTATCTACCTATTTATCTATCTATTTATCTATCTATTTATCTATCCATCTTTCGATCTATCTATCGTGATTTGTTATTTATTTGGTTCTTTCTTTCTCTCTCGCTCTCTCTCTCTCTCTCTCTCTCTCTCTATCTATCTATCTATCATCTATCTATCTATCTGTCTGTCTGTCTATCTATCTATCGATCTATCTATACACCCATTTTGCCATCTATCTGTCTATCTGTCTATCTGTCTATCTGTCTGTCTGTCTGTCCGTCTATCTGTCTGTCTGTCTGTCTGTCTGTCTGTCTGTCTGGCTGTCTGTCTGTCTGTCTGTCTGTCTGTCTGTCTGTCTGTGTCTGTCTGTCCATGTATCTTTCTATCTATCTATCTTTTATGCATATATGACCCCAGGCAAAAAGAAAAAGGTCTGCCTCGAGGTGCTCGCGCGACTCTCCGGACCTCTCTGGCCGACCTCCAATCGATCTCGCATATGTTTTTATGGCTTTAGCCTTGTAGGGTTTTGGTGGTCAGGGTTTAAGACGTCTCTTACAGGGATGAGATGAGGTTTTAACTTTTAGGGGCTGTCGAGGGATGGGTGGCACTTACAGGTCCAGGCTCTAATGCCCTTGGAGCTCAGAGATGAGGTCTCAGTGTTCAGCATGAACAGCTGAACGGTGCTGAATTAAAGGCACTCATGTGTAGCATCATGATGTCATGAAGATCGTACTCATAACCACACCGGATATTGGTAGCAACTCCGGCTCGTACCTAGCCAGTTTAGGGTCAGAGCCAACTTCTCTGGGCTGGAGTGCTTGAGATTCCGGCGCTTGAATATGCTACTGCCTTGAACCCACGGCTTGCCTTGCCTAGGAGGCCCAAATGCAAACTGCCACCAATTCATACTCTGTGGTTCTGTGCAAGATGCCCGTAAGGCTCACTCACTAGGCTGCTCCGTACATGCTGCAAGCTCCCCTACCAATCTGTGTAGCCCTTTAGCATATAAATATAAATATATAGATATATATATATGTATATGTATGTATGTACGAATGTATGTATGTACGCATGTATGTGTATATATATATATGCCCCCAGCCCCATGTATGTAGAAAGGGGGTGAAATGAAATTCGTGCAGTTGCGCACAGACATTTACCGACGTATGCTGGTGCCTGTACTTACGAGTGGGCATACACGTAAGCACATGTGTACGCAAGCATACAAACACGCACATAAATGCATGCACATGCAGTTCAACAAATTTCCACATATGTCAGAGTGTGCATATACGTAGCTGCATATGCATATATACATATATATATATATGTATATGTATACATATACATATGTGTATGTGTGCATACAGACAGCCAGACAAGCAGGCAGGCCGGCAGACAAACAAACAGCCATGCATGCATGCATGCATGCATGCATGCATACATACATACATGTATACATATATACACATATATATATATATGCAAAAGCATGTCTGCCCTCCGACTGTGTCCTTGGAAGCCTCCGAACACCGAAACCAAAAAACAAAAAAAAACAAAGTTCCACGGAGAATGCGGGACATGTTTTGGTTCTTTGATGTTTTGCTTTTTTTGGCTTTTGATATTTTGTTTTTACTAATATACGAATACTGTAATATGCAAGTATACTGACATATAAATATACTACTATGCCAACATATTGATATGCTTTTGAATTTTTCGATTAATGTACGAATATAATCGTCTACACATATACTAGTATACCAATATACTAATGTACTATCCGAATATACTAATATACTAATACACCAATATACTAATATACTCCTGCACCAATGTACGAATATACGCATATACTAATATACAAGTATACAAATGTACTACTGTACGAATATATTGTTGCATTGATATATTAATCTGTTATATACGACTCTATTAGCAGACTAACATCTCAAAACTAAATCCAATATTGATGCTAGTACTAGTACTTCTGCGAATATCAAACTGATGTTAAACCCAGCATTAAGACTGATACTAATATCTGTACTAATACTAACATTGACATTGACACTGACACTAACACGAACATGAACAGCAACACCAACACTAGTTGATACTTAGTAATATTGATACTTATCTTTACATTAAACACTAATACGAATACTAACACTAATACTAATCCTAACACTAATACTAACACAAATACTAAACTAATATTCATCTGACTATCAATACCACCACAAAACTAATACTACTACACTGATACTAGAATTAGGACTACTACAAACAATCATAGTGGTACTAAGCGTAGAACTAAGAACAAGACTGAGTCAAGACCAAGATTAAGACTAAAATGACTAAAATTAAGATTAGGACTAGGAGCATTGCATGCACATGTAGCGATTTCCAAAAATGCCACAAAAAGTACACTAACTCCGGAAATTCTGCAATTCTGTTGGGGAGAGGTGATTGTCGCCAATCCATTGACAGATCATGCCTGGGGACGGACAGGCAGGCAGGCCGGCAGGCGAAGCACGTACGCATGGTAAGATGTACATGTTCTCCCTCAGCTACGACTATCTGAGCAGGGTCCGCCTGGTCCACCATGAGTTCGGCCCTTGCCGGCATCGCGAGGAGGCTCGCGATAAGGCTGCCGGGTGGGCTCCCGGGTGGGCTCCCGGATGGGATCCCGGCCCTTGGCGCCTTGGGTTCGGGGGCTCAGAAATGCTTTTTGGGTGGCTTCCTGATGTCGTCGAAGAGGTGAGGCTTCTGGGAATTCCAGGGCTTGAGGGTTGCCAACGTTAAGCCATGAACCCGAACCATTAACCCGACACCCAATCTCCCAGACCCTATCAAACCCCAGAGTGCTGCCCAGTCACCGTCACGGCCCTTGGCATCCCAGCCACTACGGCGCTCGCCCTTCCCGCCTGGCAGGAAGTCCACATTGAGGCTCAGGAAGTTTTCATCAAGTTTGTTGTTTGTGTGCTCTCCTCCGGGTACTTCGACCTTCTAAACCCCAGCAAAGCGTTTTGCTCAAGTTTCGGGCGTAGCGTGTGGAGGTTTTGAGTTTGAGAATAAAGCGCCGTCGAACGGCTCGATAGGGTTCAGGGCGGTGGTATAGTACTGTCAGGCTGGCATGTGTCATACAGTTTCCAGTGTAAGCTTCTGTGCAAAAGAAGTTGGATGTGGGAGTGGCGGAAGCCGCCCTCGATTGGCCTTGCTCTGAAACTAACACTTGCAAGGGCTGTTGGGCTAAAGGGCTAGACTGACTACAGTTTCGGTGGTTACAGCCCGGGAGCTTGGAGCATGAGTGTGATGGGTGTAAAGATCGTGAACAACACGATGGTGGCGACAGCGATGGTGGCAGCGAGAGTGCAAAGGACTATGGTGGTGACTTTCGGTGGTGCTGTTGAATATCAGGTCGCAGGAGTGAGTGGGTGACACTGGCGGCGGTGACGACAAGAGATATCCTTTTCACGACCGTTGTGAGGGCATCGCCATCACGAAAATCAGCAGCATCATCGGCCTCGACCAAACTTCGCGCGAACATGGCAATGAATACAGATGTGGTGGTTGTGCCCAGACCACGACCACGACCACCACCACCACCACCACCACCACCAGTAGATCGGCGAACAACTGTAAGGTGAAGTACCATGACGCTATGACATCGAGTAAGAGTTGTGTTTGCATGATTCCGGTGATGCAGGGTGGTGGAGATGATGCTGCACGCAGCTGCTGCATCACTGGGTTACCAGAACGATCATCATACTCCTCTTGTTCACCCTAATCGTCCTCATCCTCACTGTGCCTGTATCACTGTCTTGAAGTGCTATCATCTTCTTTACGGTCAGAACCAGGATGCCCTGTCCAGTGTCCCGCCTTTTGCAGGAGGAGCACCTTTGCCCTTGGGTTCAAACCTTGTCCGTCGGCTGAGTGAGCCCAAAACGACCAGTCTAATGACCTAGCTGCCTCAATAGCGATGACCGCGAAGCATGTT